TTGGGGGGGGGGGGAATTTTCGATTTTAATGGGGAAGAGGAGAGAAAGGAACATGGTATGGTTGGGTGTGGAATTAGTCAACAAAAGGACAAGAAATTACTATTCACTTTTTTTGACTTTTCATTAATTTTTGTTCCTTTGTGGTAATTGGTGATTTGAATGGATTTTAAGAACCAAAAAGGGGTTGAAATTTCGTCCCTAATGTAGGAAGAAGAGGGGAAGTGTGTTATTTGATTATTTAAGGCTTTTAAAAAGGAAATAACAACAAACAAAAGTTTTTTTGGTTTTGTCTTCTTATTTTCGGCCAGGGGCTTTCAAATAAGTGGGGGAGACTTTATTTGAATAAAAAGAAAGAAATAAAAGATTTTTGGATATTTGGGAGAGGGTGGTTTTGGTGGAGGCATCGAGGGGTATAACAGTTAGTTGGTTGGATGTTATCATACTTTATTTTATAGAATATTTTAAGTTTTGGACCTTTCAAAAAAATTATTAGTTACTTTATTTTCTATAGTTGTAATGAATATTTAACTACCCACAATTCTCTCTCCTTTGAACAAATTCTAACCACACACTTTCTACTTTTCAACAACTTTCTTAAATTCTTTGACGTCAAACTCTCGAGAATTTTATGGGTCGGATGGAGTATATTAATATTGTTGTAAGTTAGAGATATCAAATTTAGCTCTTGCATGCAATATTATATCTGGATCTGGTTTGGGTTTGTTTTGCTGCTGACAATGTAATTTTCCACCATCCCAAAATGGTCATTAAGTTTGACTTTTTGGGTCCAATATTACAAGTTTTGGTTATGATTTGAGGAAAACTTAAATATTTTCTAACGTAATTTAAAACATTGGATTCATTTTGAGATGTAGATTGGAAATGCAAATTATTTTTAGAACTTACTCCACCCTGAATCAATCAAGTCACTTCATTATTTACAAGTTAACTTTTTTCTTCTTTCTTTACTTATTTTCGTTAATCATCTCATAAAATAAAATAATATCGTCATGTCACCTACTCATCTCCTTTTTCATTTTAAAAGAAAATTCAATGTAGTTTTTTAAAATATAGTAGTTTTTTTTTTAATTTTTGTATCATTATTTAAATGAATTGGATTGAAAACAAACTCAGTCAAGTTTTATTATCTGTAATGGGACAATTGATCCAAGATGGATGGAGTATTTATTTATTAATAAAGTTATTGGTCAAGGTGTTGCATTGGTTATGAAAAGTCAAATGTGAAAATCATTTTAGCGTATATGGAGTATATTATTAGTTTCAAATTTAATGATAGACATGATTTGAATTATTTGGCATATCTCATATATGATGACATATGTTTTTGTTTTCAACTTTGCATGCACCATTATACAGAGTATATGTAATTCAAATTGACCCCCTCTCAAACTTGCTCTTTGTTAATAATGTCTAAAGTTAGGAGGTAGTCCAAGTTTACAGGGAATGTTTGTTCTTTTTGTTTGGGTAGTATTGTGAGTTATAACAAAAAATGGTGATGCATTTCCAAGTGCCGACAACACAATGCTTAATTACAAAGATTTCAGTGCAGTGACGGGAATGTGTAATTTCTATTTGTATCCAAATACTATTTTTTGTGTGCCTATGTCTTTGAAGGATTACTTTATTGCTACTCCATAATTGATTGCAATTGTGTATTTTATCTTATAGTTTGTTGTTGAATGAAAGTCTACAAAGGAGTTCCCAACTCTAATGGGCTAGCTTTGTCTTATAAATCTACCACCCAATAATATAAAGCTCCCTCCGTTCCATAAAAACAATCTTGTTCTACAACTCTTTAGTGTCCCAAAAATAACCCAATTTAAATATTTGAAGCTATTTTTCATTATATTTAAATTTTTGAAATAATAAAAGTTTCCCAAATGAGGTGAGTGTGTTAAAATAAATTAAACCAACAACTAAAACTTAAGACATGTATATTTGACAATTTCTAATTGTTATAATCTGTTACGAAGTATAGTAAAGTTGTACCTTTGTGAATAAAGACTTTTTATGGGATGGAGGGTGATGTACCCCTAGACCATCCCACATAAACCCACCACTCCCTATTTATTTAAATTCTTTTATTTCCTTATATTTACTCAAAAATAGAACCTTTCCTAATCATATTAAGCCATGAGCAAATTTGAGAAGGAAAGAAATCTAAAATAAAGACCTTTGCGTCAACTTTGTGCTTTAAAGTCGGTATTTAGTCATCCTTAGTCTTTGTGATCAATCCCTACACACATGGCTGGATTCACCTCACCATTTTAACTCAAAAGAAGTCTTTTTACCTCCTTGGTTATAGTCTTGACTAAAATCAGTAGCTAAAAGAAGACAAGCTATCAAATTCTTTTGATCATTAAATTCAACACCAGGCCTACAATAATCATTTACTAATATGCCAAATGATCACCATCATTTTATTTTGACTTTGTTTTACCCCCTAAATACCCTCTAAATGTTTGCTTTGTATTCCCCATCTACCTTGGCCGAAAACACTACCCAAGCAAATAAGAAACCATCAACTTTGACTTTTGTGTACAAATGTTTTTTCTTTTTCTTATTTCCACCTCCATTTTAGCCTAAACTTAAAGTAAACAACCATCAGCCATTTCCCTCACCCTTTGGCCGAGTTCTACTACCAAAAAAGGAGGCTAGCACTTGGACACAATCAGCTCTGATTTGAGGAAAGGTATGCTGCAATGTATTCCATTGAATCATAGTTGACAAGGCGTTGCCTAGGCAACGTTTAGGCGTCTGGGCGAGGTTATATGGATGTCAAACTGCTCGCCTAGGTTTTTTTTGGGGAAACACCGGAGAAGAAGATGACTGAAAGAAGCCTGAGAGAGGACGAAGGAGGAGAAGAAGATCCGAAGAAGACAAAAGGGAGAGAGACTTGCGAGATCCAGCAGATTCCAAGTCTAAACCCTCAACTCTCCATAGTTATTTAGGTTACTTATTTGGGCTGAGTTTATAAAGAGTAGTGGGCCTTTGCACTTATTAAGTATAGCTCTTTATTAAAAGAGTGTTGGGCCCAAATTTGATTTCACTCTAAAAAAGTTTAAAAAGCCCACTAACTTACTAACTTGTGTAAAAAATATACTTATTCTTTTCAATGTTCGAAAAGGCGTATTGTAGTTTTGAGGCGTTTTCATTTCATGGCGTAAGGCGTAAGCCTTGAGGCGTTTTGAGGCGTAAGCCTCAATTTTTAAATTGAAAAACATTCACAAAATAATTTAAAACCAAAGATAGAACATAATGTATAACATAAATAATCCAAAAACATGAAAAGAGTATCTTGTCAAAGCAATACATCGCAAACATAAAATTGCAGTTTACATATTTGTAGTTTTTTTTGTCCTTCGATATTGGGTGTTGAGTCAACACCATACTTCCATGCTGGGTCCGACATTTAAGCAATATTCTAATTTCTGCAACAACAAAATAAAAAATACAATACTATGCAATAATTCATCTTAAAAACAAAAAAAAAATAACAATTAGCACATCAGTAATCAAAAAAAGAAGAAAAAACGAGGATATTAACAGGTAAAAAAAATCATCTCATCCAACTACTTGAAAAAATACCAATCATAAGCTCATAAAAAACATCAATTGAATGCTAGTGTACTTCACAAAAAGATTACCAAAATAAATAAGAAAAAGAAAAAATAGTACCACTTGACAATTGTAAAAAGAGAAAAAGGCAAAGTTGGATGTGCTGGAAAGAAAGAAAGAGCAGACATAAAAAGCAGAGATAAAATGCAGAACATTTACCCAAAGCAGACATAAAACGCAGCTGGAAAGAAAGAGCAAAGACGCAGACCAAAGAAACATACCTTTTCGCCGGAGAAGAAGACTGAAGACGGCCGACGCTGGACGGCTGGAGACGGTTCGTAGCTCGCCAAAAGGTAATCGACAAAGATTAGGGTAATCGACACTAATTTTGGGTAATTTTAGGAAATATACACTTAATTGGGTTAATTAATTGGAGTAATTGACAACTTTAACCTTCAATACCCAAAATTTTAATCGTTTAATTTCCAATTTCTTATCCTGAAATTGCGTAAGCCTTATTGCGCGCACTGGCGCGTACGCCCCATGGCGTACACCTTCCACAGAATAGCGTAAAAATACCTATAGCATGAAAACGGGATTAGCTCCAGTGCTTAATTTCCGGAAAAAGTTACGAGGCGCGCCTTGAGGCGGGTTTCCGTTCCGCCTTTTCGAACACTGATTCTTTTAATATAATTTTAAATTTTAATTTTTTAAAAACAACATTCATTCATATATTTCAAAATATTTACTCTTTTTTTGGGCACATATGTACTGTTTAATTTCTTATTTCATATTTTATGCTTTTATATTAATACCTATAAGATAATAAAGTTGTCATAGCCCACTCGCCTAGAGGACGCCTAGGCTGACGCCTAATCGCTTAGGTGATTGGAAGGTACCCTAACGCCTAGGCTCGCCTAGCCGCCATAACTTCAATGATTGAATTAAGGAGTTTGTTTTCTTGATTTGCGTAGCATGTGGCGTACATTCTTAAGCCAAAGAACAAGTGTTTTCATGCATTTCTACATAATAATGAGATGCATCTCCCATGTGAATGTGGCGTGGAAATTGGCTAGCATTTCCAGCATATGTATTAGTTTGTCTTCATATATGATCATTAGCTTAGAATTCCCCTTTTATATCCCTTATATAAACTACGGCCATATGGCAATTGTGGGCAGATTTTAATGAATAAAAACTAGGGTTATTAAGTCGTCGACTAGTCGTAGACTATGCGTCTGGCCGCTGAGAAGGGACAATTGGCGGTGGCGACTAGCGACTAGTGACTAGAGTGAAGGACGGAACAATCACAGATCTGAAAACCCTAACCCATGGCAAAAGTAGATCCGCTGTCACTACCGCCGGAAGTTGGTCTGCTGCTGCCGTGGTCGTTCGTCGACGACGCTGTTGTTTGTGGCTCCCACCATCCCGTTTAAGTTACAAATAGCTTTTTCGTTCTGACATATATTGTTAGCCTGACTTTCTTTTCATTTTTCTTTTCTTTTCTTGGAGGGCCGACGGATAGACCCCTACAAGTGTAACTAATACTCTACACCCTTTTTGAACCGTTTTTAATAAAGGTTTCTATTTATTTCAAGTTTTTTGTTTTCTTTTATTCTATTATTATTTGTGCAACTAAATTTTGTTTTAAAGAATGTTGAATGATGACATATTTTATAGAATGCAGTACTTATTATGACTTGCCAACTAATCATCGACTAGTCGGACCGACTAGTCAACTAGTCCACTAGTCTCTTCTTCAACAACTCGACTTGACTTATTGCCCTGAAAACAATGATGAAAACCTTGTTTTGTTCTTGAGTAATTCTTTAAAATAGCGATGCTATTTTAGTCAAAACTCCTAATTCTATATCTTAAGAGTGGTTTTTAAGTGTGAGTTTTAGGTTCTTGGTATTTAATGAAGTGTGTCATATCTTAATGAAATTCTAGACATAGCCCCAAGTTAAGATAAAGGTGTGTCATATCTCTTAACACCAACTTGGTTTATCCCTTCCTATTTTTACTCTATCATTTCTTCTCTCATCATTTCTTATCCTAGACCGATACATTTTCTTTTATAAAAATACCCAAGGGAACTCCTTATACAGTCATATCACACTCCCCATTTTTGTCCCTACCTATATACATCCTCAACCACCGATTTTTTCTCTACTTGATAATGCCCCCAGTTTGGGCACATCATCTGGTATCAGAGCTAACTGTTCTACATCCACCAAGGGACTCATACACGTCCTTCTCTCTTCAAGAACAGAAACTATCATCAAAGCCAAGCTTCAAAGACTGTCCGAAGCATTGAAATCACCCGGAGGACCAACAAATGCAAACGTGTTAAGAACGTGAAATCTGAAGTTTCTCCCTGAAATTTGCTGTGGTGAAGAATTGCTCACATAGGGAGATACACAATATCTCTTCCTGTGAGGTTTCTTGGTTTCTACTGTAGCAAGTTCAGCTTGTTATCCACGCCTGGCCAATGATTTTCACTCAATTCCGGGTTGGCTTTAATGAGATATCCTCATCTGAAGTTGACAAGGACGTTCTGCCAAAATTTTGTCTACCTTTTTTTGAATCATTCCACAAAACGGTTGTGGAGATATGAGCCTCCGAAGTAGGATAGCAATCTGAAAATTATCCTGAAAAACAAAGAAGTGATGTGTTGTTTAGATGAATGTTGCTACATGTGTTGTGGCTACGACCTATGGTCATGTCTATATCGAGTGCCCAATGGGGCAACCTATTCCATTTAAAGAGTACCTCAAGTGGACCCACAATCAAGGAGAGGCATAGTGCTAAGGTGGATGATTAACTGAGGCTATTCAATGTTTTCCACAACAATATATGCCAGTAAATTTGCTCTTCCCTGTAGAGTGATTGCGATACTTATATTTATGTGATCATGTCTTAAGGGACATAAAAAAGGCACCAAGGAAACCAATAATGTGTTATGATGGCAAAGGTCACCCTCAGGTTATTCCGTTATTTTGCAGGTTCTCATATTGACAGTTATTTCAAAACCAACCTAACCAAAACAATCCAAATATACTTGGTATGTTGATAGATGTTTCATTTTCTGATATTTCATTTTACGAGTGAAAATGGAAAGTACTTTAAGATGGCATCATTCCAATAAATAGTGTATTCTGTAGTTAAAGGTCGCCCTTGGGTCGATTTTTTGATGTTGGCCAGGCAATTTCTCTAGTTGAGAGACATTTCACCTTTGAGTATTTTTTTTGCTGGTGAAAATGTATGAAACTTGATGTGATCAAATGAGGAAGCTGAATGCTAGGCTTTAGCCACATATGAGTTGATATGGCCAAAACATTACTTTAGGGTTTACAGTTCTACACTCTCCCACGTCCCACCGATGACATTGATATGCAATAACTTAACAGAACTGTACAATTCATTGAATCTAGTGTTTCATGAGAGGATCAACAACATTGAAGCTGACTATGGACTTGTTCTCTTCACCTGATCTGAATCATTCTGATCTCATTGGAATAAGTTCCTTATGTTAACCGTCTGTCCATACTTTTGTAAATCAAAACAATACAATCTCCTTGTTCTTCCGAGGAAACATTGCATTCATTTTTAAACTTGATTAAGATTTTCTAATTTTGTATCAGCCATCATAATGCGCACTGCGAATTCGTAAGCTTATGTACTGCAGTTTTGTCTATTGGTGTATAACTGTTTGGATAAGTAAAGTAGTAACTATTGGCATCCTGGATTTAACACAACATAATTATTTGGTGCAGATATTTTGCATTTTGGCTTGCTGTTTTGGGAGGCAAATTTAGTTTTGCTTATTTTCTACTAGTAAGTTTCAAGTAATGTTTCATTTTGCTTTTGTCGTAGTAAGTTTATATCATGCTATATGTGACAATGCTTCAGATTAAGCCCTTGGTGAGTCCCACAAGGTTTGGTCTTTTTCAAATCTCTCATCTAATTTTTTGTAGTCATTTGGTCTTTTTAAAATTCATCTTAGAATAGAGTTTGTGCTATGTGGTGGTTTTCTTACAAATTTGGGATGGTGTGTTATTTCAATACTATACAAACTTGCATATTAAAAAAGAACAACCGACCTCAAATCCGCACTTTCCCATGGATATACAGATTACAGTTACAAACACCCCCTGCTCCCATGCCCGTGTTCCAAGATGCCACTGTAGCATCAATGACTCTGCATCATACCTTAATTTCCTATAGTGGCAATCTTCAGTGACAATATGATGACCGCCTTGATTCACACCTTCATCTTTACCTTGATGGCTTTTACCTGAACCCTTAACTAGAAGACACACTTCTTTTAATTGAACCTTTAACCAGACACACCGAACACATCTTCTCCAGTGTTTTTTCGTAATTGCAACATTTATCTTTTGTTAAGTAGATTATTATTTTATTTTAACACATCCCATTTATAAGATTATAGGTTCCATCACATTATATAAGAAATTTCTGTCGGTAATTACATGAGCATATGGTTCTTTAATATTTATTAAAAGTCTTCTCTTTTTCAACGAGTTCATTTGTTACTTGTTATGCAGATCTACCTCCTAGATACTCATCTATTTTACACTATTATATCTTCTATCTGTGGTTTCCTGTTGGGAGCAAAGGAACGTCTTGGAGAGGCATGTATTTTATCACTAAAATGATTGTAGTGTTTTGTTAGTCAATATCCTTATTTTTATCTTCAAAATAAGGTGCATTCATCTTGTTGTTTTGTTGTTATCAGTTGGTTCCCTGTTCTCCAATCAGTTTACCTAAAACATATTTGCTGTATCTAAATCCAAAATCTATATTGCAGGGAATCCATGTGTTCATCTGGTTTGGTGAGTTATTTTTACTTACACTTCTGTAATGTCATTGCGATATTTTGGCTAATTTGATAAATCACATTGTTTGTGGACCAAAAGATTTACCTATGTTGCCTTAACAAGTTAAGAGTGATGTGTACTTGTCATTTTAGGTACTTAAGAGTCACATGGACGATTTAGATGCATTTTCTTGCTTATATATATATATATATATACACACACACACATACATACATACACACACACACACATATATATATATATATATGTCTGTGTGCGTGTGTCTCCTATTATCGGTTTACTTTACATGTATTGTTTTCCATTTTATGAGTTTTTTCCATTGGTTTTCATTTTTTTGGATTTATTTGATGCCTTCTTTAAGAATATTCTAAAAATCTTAGCACTTGACTGTGCCCCCAGTATGTTCTAGCTCCTAGTGCTTTTTAATTTTTTGAAAATTGTTAATATGTTCAATAAATTCTTTTCTTTATTTCAACGTGTTCTCTTTATTAATTGTGAATTTCTCCAAGAATATAGATAGCTTATTGGACGCAGTAGTCTAAAAGTTTTGATTGATACACAGTATTGCAACATTGGGTACATGCAATTCCAATTATGCCGTCTTTACACATGTATATATGCATATTTGTATTATTAAGTTGTTCATTTAAGAGTTTTGATATTATGATGTACAATTGTTTTGTTAGACATGTGAAAATAGCAAGGATGATATATCATTGTGTTCAGTGGGAGTAGTTGCTTTCTTATATTTGATTTTGATTAATTTGATTATTAAATGATACTGTTCAATTGATAGGAACTCCAGAGGAACAAAGTTGATGCTGCTAAGTTTGCTCCTTTTTGGAATAAGATTATAAGGAATTTGAGGGAAGAAGACTACATTAATAGTTTGTGAGTTTTACTGTTGGTCATGGCATTTTCTGTTATCAGATCTTATTCATTGACTGCTCACTAAAGCTCACTAGACACACATTCATCTTCTTTAATATACAGGGAAATGGAGTTGCTTTTAATGCCTAAAAATTCAGGGATAATATCATAATAGACAATATTCCCTTGGTTCAATGGCCACTGTTCCTTCTAGCAAGCAAGGTTGCTATCAGAAACTATAATACTTGTTTTGTTTCTATGGTAGTTAAGTATGCACATGTTGATATACCCCCGGTACCTACGAAAGTCCTTAAACAAATTACCAGATTAATGACTAAATCCTACGATCCTTTTTGGAATGAATTTACCCCTCCTAAACCCAAACCCTTAGCCATAATTTCATTGGATTTTTCCTCACACTAAAATAAACCCAAACAACCCGTTTTCTTTCTTTACTGCCCAGGCCGTACCCCCTTACCCCCACCCTTTCTCATCAAAAACACACCCCATTAACTCACCAAAATGACCCACAAATATTTCATCCTTTTCCCTTCAATTCTGGCCAAAACACAAGAGCCAAAACAACACATATCATCCCCATAATAAACCCCAACACATGGACCCCCTTTGTTCCCTACCCAAACAGCATACACACCCTCCATTTTAACCACCAAATAAGCCCTACAACTACACTCCAAAGCTAAGAATAAAACATCCCATTTGTTGAGATGTGTGGGACGTATAAACCCATCGCAAACAACCATATCTCACCCCTCTTTACCCCATCCCCGGGCTGCCCCTTTCCACTTTACAACCACCATATTTCAACCACCATAACAAACCAAATTAGCCAATATATCTCACACCCCTTTGTCCCCTAATATGGCCGAATCACATCCCTCTCAAATCCCCATAAACATCTTCTCAAAATAACAACCTAGCTTCCTCAATTCTTCCCCCCTACTACTGGCCGAAATACCCAAGTCCCACATCATATTAAGTCATATTTTGGTGATTTGATTAAGGAACAAAGCTTGTAATTTCCCCCTTTCCCTTGTTATTTATTTCGGCCATAGGCCTCATTTGAAAACAGATTGTATTCCTTTTCATTTCCAAGTAATAAACCATTGTGTTTGTTATTTTAAATCCTAATTTCTATATCTTAAGGTTGGTTTCCTTAAGTGTGAGTGTTAGGTTCTAGATATTTGATTAAGTGTGTTATATCTTAATTAAATTCTAGATTGAACCCCAAGTGAGGAGAAGAGTGTGTAATATCTCTTTAACACCAACTTGGTTTATCTATCCCAAAGAAATACTAAACTGTTTTTCCCCCTCTCTTCTCCCTTATTTTCGGCCTGCTCCCATCCACCACCCTAATATTACTTTTCTCTCCACTTTTCCACTTAAACAAAAGCCTAAAAATACTCCTTCCCCACTGCCAATTTCGTCCCTAGTCTTCCCTCCCTTAAAATCCTCCATTCCTTGCACAAAACCTCACCAATATAGCCTTATAACTTCCTCCCTTTACC